TAAAGGAGTTTAGATTTAGTCATGGGTGTCAAAATGCATTTGATATCATAGAACCATAGTTAAAGCAATAATCTTTAATGCAACACTATGATTTACTTTTAATATCTCGGCCTTTTAAAGTTTGAAATAAATACGCATAAAGATGTGAACATCCTTAAAGAGCTGCACAGGTCAGTCTGGAGCAGCTAAACCAATGACTATACAAAATATAAAAAAGAAAACTAAAGAAAGGGACGAATGTCCATCCCTTGGATCTCAATAGATGTTTCTAATGTTCTGCTTCTCTTTTTAAAGATGTGCCATGGGGTAGTCTCCATGACTAAATCTCAGTCTCAAATGTCAATTATTTCCCTGTTTATAAACCCAATTTAACAAAGCAGACAAAGTGACACGTGAGTGAACATACCATCTTTGAATGATCCACGCTGGTTCCTCTTTCGGCCAAGGGTACGCTGGGGAAGAAACGGCAGCACAGACTTTATTCATGAATTGTGCGTTTTAGTCACAGACTTGCATAGAGAAGTACGCTAATAAAGATCATGAAGATGGGAGAGTTGTGGAAAATATATCAACATGGTTTTCACAGATGTTCTATGTAAAATATTAATACCATTTAATAGCAATATTTATTGCTGACTCAAGTTTTTTTAATTATTTAAAAAAAACTGGTTAATTTGCTATAATCCAAATCTGGAAACAACTTAAATTTTTTCCAGGTTGCATAAAAACTCTGGATCTTTGTTCCATTAAGCAGTGAAAAGTCGACATCACCACTGGCACTATAGGCTAACCTGATTGCGACTGATGTAAAAATGAAAAATGAAACCAGAGGTTCAGCTAGTGTCATCATATGAAACAACTGACGTCTGAATCAGACTGAAGTACAATAATTATATAAAAATAAAAAAAACATGTGATGGGTGACCTTAAATAAAGAATTTCCTATTAACTTCTAGTTTATTTAAACAGATTCTTTTAGAAATATTCATACCGCTGGGAGATCACCTTTAATTCGCATTTACTGACACATATATTAAACCAAATATCATTTTGTTAAGCTTGGTTACCTCGAACTAAAGGGTAAAAGAAAAGAAAAAAAGCTCTTCTCTTTTCCCACACTGTTTGTACCTTCTGTCTCCTACTGTGCACAGGACCGGGACTGCTTTCTCTGTTTTCATCAACCGCTTTCAGAGTGGGTTTATCTGCTGTCCCGGCTGTCATGGCTTCAATGTCCAGGCTGGTCACCGCAGCTCGGTATGACTTGTTCCTGCGGTTCCTCCTGAAGGCAAATCCCTCTCCATCACTATCATAATCTTCCCAGGAAACATCTGGACCCTGGGTTGAGTGACGGCTGCGGTTCTCATTGCTGGAGTTCTCCAGTCCCACTGGGAAGGTCACCACCGTGGTGTGATGGCGGTTTTTGGGCCGGCTGGACACTGCCAAGCCCTTGGGAAACAGCTGCTGGGCGCCAAGCTTCTTTGCTGCAGGGCTCTCTGTACTTAGAATTACCTTTTGGCTCTCAGGCTTCTTTGCTGCAGGACTCTCTGTGCTTAGAACCAACCCCCTGTCCACTGTGTCTACCTGCAGAATGGCTGTTTCAGACTGGGGTGCTGGTGGGCTTTTGGGTATGTAGCCTTCATCTCCTGGCTCGTATATATGAAGCTCTGTGGAAAAGAGAGTCTCCACTTGAGGGGACTTGTCCATGCACTTCTCTGACTCACTGTGGGACATGGTGTCCTACTGTCAGCCTCCTCAGTTCCTCACCACCTACAGCATCGAAGGAAACTAAAGAAGAAAAGCAAACAAATTGGAAAATATTAAAATTGCTGCAAAAAAATAATATATTGACCATCAAAGGTAATCTTAAATTGCTCATAGACTTTTTTTTGACATCTCAGGATCTAGGTTTTCAGTGGAAATAAGTTACCAAGTCATATGAAGGGACTTGACCCATGACTCACGACTCCCACTCACATAGAAACACACAAACATGCAGAACTTTTCATTTCAATCTCTTAAACAACCAAAAAAACAAACTCACACTCTTTCTGATAAATGTCCCAATCCAACTCCTCCAGGAGGTGGTTAGTAAACCCATTATTAAGAAGACAAACAAACTCCGAATGTGTTATTAAAGCCTTAAACTAACATGCACAAACATGCAGAAGAAATTAGACCAATGTTCATGCTGCATTTAACCTTAGAGCAAATTAACTAATAGATTCAAACAATATTTCTGTTTAGTTAACTTGAGTTACTTACAATACAAATTAATGTCGCGAGACAGACGGATTAGGTTGAGGGAGGAAAAATGTCCGCCTCAGACTCCCATAGTCAGTAGATCCAAGCAGACCGCGCGCAGATAGACTCAGCTGCTTCACCTGGAGAGGTGCGCCTCAAACTGTAGCTTTGGTTCGGCGGGGCGTCCGCGGCGGTATACCTGATAGAGATGCGGTTCGTCTAAATGCCACTGTATTCCTCCGCCGCGCTAGTCCCTCTGCCTTCCTCTGTTTACGTCACTACAGGTGCGCGCCAATCAGGTTTGTTAAAAACAAGCCCGACAGCAAACACCTTCGACCACTTGGATATTCAAGTTTGACAACCGTCCACCGAGATGGAGACGCAACACAACTCGAGGAGTTTGACACGTATTTTTTAAACACATAAAAGGGAAATTAATTTTAATTGCAGTTACTGTTATTTACAGATATATATATTCAAAAACACAAAACAAAACCGAAACCAAACAATTTGAATCGGTTGTTAACTTTAAACTTTGGAAGATATTCATGTATTTTTTGTTTCTGTTCTCACTTAATTATTTAAAACAAAGGCGCTTTGTCGCACCCTGGTGTTGAATCTTATGTACTACACCCTATTCAAAGATTCCATGGCTGAAAAGGTTCCAGTAGGAAATCACCTTAATAAACACAACCACCTTTTGCACACAGTCAAGTTATTGCGTATTATAATTTTTTGTGTGTGTGTGTGTGTGTGTGTGTGTGGCTGTACTTCCTTTATGTGCCTGGTGCGTGATTGCTTTATCAGGAAATGTTAGATTTTCTGATTAGATTTACTTTGAGGGACAAATTTTAGGTCCATTTTAAATAGTGGAAATTCTACAGATGTTTGGGGGATTTTTTTTTTCTACAACCATATAACTACATTTTGCATAAATCATTGGACTTTTCCAAAGCAAATTGTCTTTTCGTGCAACGAAAGATAATAAACATATGCAAATCGTCTAATACCTTAACCAACAAGATACCTAAAAATGTACAATAGTTGTGAGAAATGTCTCTAAAATTCATATTTCGATACATTATTATTATAAATCAAGTCTATATAAAGTTTACTTTCCCTGCCCTATTAAAAAAAACAACAAATTTTTAAGAGCAATTTTACTTCTAATGGTCTATCAATTTTTTTTAAACAAACATAAATAATAAAAGAATGGAAACAGGCAACAAATAATTTTACAATATCCAAGGTTTATTTTGCTCATTTTTAACAATATGAAGTTATTATGAGAAGTGAACAAGCCAGCAATCTTTATTTGAGTGAGGCTAAAACATGTAATATTATGTAATACAGAAAAAATGTAATGAAAAAAAATCTAAGGGTCCTTATATACAGAGTTTATATATTTATATATGTATAGAAAATTGAATGGCATTGACATTTACACTTTTATTTTTCAATTTCATATATGGCATCTGATGAGAAGTAAGTCAGAATATTTCTGGATGACCAACCAAACACAACAGTATGCTTGACAGATTATCTGTGTAGAAAAAAAGAAAGAACATTCTAGGAATGAATTATTGAGGGTATTTGCAATGATCTGGATTATAGCAAGGAATAGATTCTTAAACAAAAATTCGCTGATTTTGTCCACTTTAAAAACTATCACCAAATATAAATGTTTCTAATGACCTTTAAAAAAGTGCCTCCTTTCATTTTCTGCCCCACATTATTGAATATTGGTGTTTAGTAAACACAAAGATAACTAATACCCAATTTAACAAATATCTCAACATGACTTATTTAAATATTTGAAACCATTTATGACAACAGATTTTATCTTTAGGTTTAATGATAACTTTTAAGGTAAAAAAAAAAAAATTCTTAAGTTTAATTTAAACTTGATTAGATCATCTAAAGACCACACCCTTGGTGTTTCAGGACCCTCAGAGGGGGTCCTGACCCAGACTTCAGAAGCCACTGCTCTAAAAACACAAACATAACTCTAATGTTTTGTGAGTTGTAAGAACATTTCAAAATATGGAAAAAGGAGGAAGGACTAAAATAGTTAAACAAAAGCTCTCTGAGTGTCTAATATTGAATCATACAGTACTTTGCAGAAGTCTTGATCATCTTCTACATGCATAGATTCTCAGCCACAGACAGGTTGGTGCTACATTTGGACAAACTAAAGCACATAAATCCCTTACGGATATCAGTATAGTGTAGTATAGTGTATAGTGTATCAGTATAGAGACCGATTGGTCTCTATGATGTGTCAGGATTTGACTGATTCTTCAAACAACGTATTTTAACAATTTGGTAACATAAAAAAAAAAATACAAAACTAAACTTTGCTTTATTTTTCTAATAAAACAAACGAGACAGTTAAGTTAAAGTGATACTATCACCGTTCCAACCATTAATGAGCTGACATACAGTTTCATCTCTTAGAGGGAGTTTAATAGAAATAACTGGCCGTAGTTTCTGCCAATAAACTGGCAGTATTTTAAAGGGTTTGCTCAGGTTTACCGGTACTTGAGGTTTTGTTAAGAGGTTGCAAGAAGTTAATATCTTGCCAGCAGCAGTCAGTGATTCATGCTAGTGCTATTTTTATAATCTTTTAACCATTGATGGGTTTGCATTGGGTGGATATTTATGCAGGAGCTGATGATTATCTACATGGAAAAACAGAGGGAGGATACAACATTTCCTGGTAGAATACTAATTACTTTTTTCCACCAGAGAAGCTTTGCTTTTTCTGTTATGTTTCACATAGGAAAATCATCTGCAGCACACAGACCCCTAACAACACACTTTGTGTAAATTATAAAGGGTTTGTAACTAACCTCCTAAACTAGAGTTAAAGATGAAGGATGATAATATACCTGCCATAAACCGATTAGCAGTTAGAATCAGCCTCCTGAGCCAATGAAAAAGGAGTTATCCTGAATAATTACACCATGATTGCTAATCAACTGCAGGTAAAATATAGACTGATTAAAATCTTTTCGATTAACCTTGGTTTTAAAACAGCTGAACTACTTTCCTATAGGACAGCAGATCCATTTGTAATCTTGATACTAAATTCTATAACTAAGACACCACATTGATGGGATTCTACCTATACTCAGAATACATTGGCTGCTTAATGATAAGACCTGCTTTAAAAAGACATTAAACTGCTATTTTCCTTTCATTACCTAGAGGTTAAACTGACTGAAAAATAGACAATTTCATAGCAACAACGGCCTCAAACGACATCTATCAAAAACCTTAACTCCTTATATGAAATCATACTCCAGTGTTTTGTAGTTTTACAGAAATGTAAATATAACTAAGAGTAATTTATACTAAGTGCCTTAAGTACAATAGCAAAAAGAAGAAAAAAAAAAGGTTTAGTGCATGTCAGGAATGCTGTGCTAAAAGAACAACCATTTGTGAGCAGGAGACTTTTAGTAAAAGGTGTAAGATCACTCTGCTGTGTTTCACCTGAGCAGTCTCAGCTTGTGTGGACAGCAGCAACCACAGACAGGAGGCCTGAGCTGCTGGGGGCACAAGAGAAGTCAGGGGAAAACAAGCTCTCCTCTCTTCTCTCTGTTCAGTTTAAAGAATGAAGGAGGGAGGCGCTTTGGACTATGTGTGTGAGGGTGCAGAACGCTGCAAGAACGATCCAGTTCACTTTTTGGCTATGTCCCCTTTTTTCAGAATGAGCTGCCGCTGCCAGGGGGCCAGCTTGGTCTCATCGTAGCCCAGGGTCCGTAGTCGCTCCAGCTCCTGCTTCTCCTCTGTCTCCTTCGCCTGCTTGGCCTGCTGTTCTGCTTTTCTACATGGATCCAGAAAGAAAGGTCAACAATCTGTCATTAGTATACCGCTGTCATTTTTCATTTAATGCAGTGTGTTTCCCTTACAGCACCATGTCCCTGATCTGCTTGGTTTTAGATTTATCTGAGATCTGACTTATTCCAGAGGGTGTTTTTTTAAACTAATTATTTAGCTCTTTGCTTTTCCTCTCTGAGTGCATAGTTGTGTTTTTAGATCATGCCTAATATTTGCTGCCATTCTGCATATTTCAGTTTTCATAATTCCATGATCCTTGATCTTTTATTATAGTAATCAGTCCACCAACAAGTTATGCTTCCTGTTGTCAGTTTTTCCAGAGTCTCCTGCTGCTCTTTGTATCCCTGCATTTGCTGTTCCTCTTTCTCCCCATTCTTCCTCTTTCTGTTTTTATTTTCTAAACTAATCTAAGTCTGAAATATATGTATATCTCCATATGATTGTTCTGATCTCCTCTCTTGATCCATCACAGCAATATTATGTGTGAAACTCCTCCTGATAGATAACATTCAAGAAGAATAAAAAATCTTCCACACATGATGAGTCATGTTTTTAAGCAAATAATAAAGAAATATATTTAAAAAAACTTACCGAAGACCTGAGAGATTATTATTCCTTGTCTTGGTGTTTTTAACTTCATAGCTCTTGTGTGGGGGCTAACACATTGTTGTGTTTATAGAAATAAGGAACTGATCTCATCTTTGTCACAGATTAGTTGCAGAAAGTGCATAAAATTCCATATTTTGTTTTGAGGACACATATACATATGTTATAGAAGAATAAAGTGGTTTCAAAAAACATTTCGGTAGTAATATTCAGCCATTTGACTGAAAATGAGTAAGAATCCAGCTAAAGTAAACCTTAAGGTAAGATGAAGCCTGGCTCCTTGGATGCAAATAACTTGGAAATCAGGGATGACTCAAGACTTTTGCAAAGCAGTAGATTACCTTTCCTTTTTTGCCATAAGAGGGAATAGACTTGAAGGCATTCAATTGGGCAGAGCAAATGCTTGGGTACGTTAATGAGCTGAGGTCAAATAACTTTACAGGAAAACTACTAAATTACTGATTCCTTTTAAGTCACTTATACAAGGTTACATAAAACAAATGCTGAATTTGCAGCTAAAAACATTTAAATCCTACAATCATGTATAGTGTGAGTACAGGAAGCAAAGATCACACAAGGAGGAAATTGCATAGCTTTGGTTTTTATTCAGCTTTTGCAAATTTCACTTGATGGTGAACCGCAAAAACAGATCCTTCAATAATCCAGACATATCCCAAAGGAATACTGGATGAATTGCACTTTTAATTTGTCTTTTTTAAGTTCACCTTGTTGTATAAGCTGTGCTAAAATGATATTGAAATACAATCTGGCATCTAAAACAGTGATTTGAACACTGATTGAATCAATGAATCAGATTCTAGAGAACCAGCTGTATTTCTCCTTAAATTTAATTTATTGCCTTTACCCAAATTTGCTAAAAAAAAAAATATGATCATATAAAAAATCTACGTTGAATTGTAAAATCTCTAGTTGTAAAGCAAAATGGAAAATCTTACCTTTTTTGTTCCCTGTCACATCAGGAGACACACAAGAAGAAAGGTGTAAATATCATGAAACAGTAAGCAGGTGTTGTACAAGTTACAGTAATAATGTCATGCAGAAACAAACCGACTTCTTGGTGCTGTGGTCTCTGTTTTTTAAATAATTCTTAAAAACATTAAGATCTTGGACTGGATCTTTGAATAAGGTACAGGCACTTTTCAATGTCACTACCAAATGTCTCCTATTGGGGGCTCTGAACGTATGAATGAGGGAAATAGGACTGAAATGAGAATAGTAAATATGGACTTTTATCATTTGATGGCATAAAAAAAAATTCATTTGAAATCCCAGGATTGTCAAGAAGTTATTTTACTTGAACATAATCTCTGTTCAAGTAAATACATTCGTTGAAACTATTCATATTGCATGCCATATATTGTGAAATGTGATCTATTCTGTAATTTATATCTTAAGAACCCAAATTATATTTTTCATAATTTTCAGTGATTCACATTAACAAATGAGCAAACACAAAACAAATCTTCCATTTTAACAAAATACCGTAGCAAGAAAAATGATTGTGCAAAGAATAAAAAAATGACAATACTTTAAAATTTGTTTCTTTACTTTGATGTTCCCCATAGATATTCTGACAATTATCCACATTTTGGCCGTCTTTATACACATAGCAATGACTGTGAACCCCCCCCCCTCTTAGTGTCTCACAACCTCTAAAGGGATACCGAACCCCACTTTGGAAATCCCTGTTTTAAGAGACTCTCAATAACATTACAAAAAAGCTGAAACTTTAATAAAGACATAAAAACAACTGCCCTGTTACTCACCTCTCCTCATCCATTTTCTTCTTCATCATATCCCTCCTCCAGGCCGGCATTGAAGCCAACCGCTTCGCTTCCTCTTCAGCCTGTGAGGAAACAGAGAGGGTCCAAAATGGGGGCAAAAATGGGGACCCAAAAAGGTCAGTTAAGGCATTTAGAATCTAACTGTATACCTCATACCTTGAAGTATTTTTAACGCTCAATACATTTTCAGCCATGCTGACTATGTGCCCAGGAAAATCTCCAAATCCATCTGAGATTCATCCGTTTAAAATGCAAAACTTTCTCACAGTATGCAAAAAATTATTACATTTTCATATTTTTGGCTATAGTTGAAAAAAATTAGAAACATATCTCAAATCTTTGCATTAAACACTGCTATATTTACAGGTTAATCCCTGCTCTTTGCTGAAAGAGCATGCATACACCTGCAGGCAAAAAGCTGTGATGAAACATGAATCCAATCTCTGTGTCTATTCATATTCCCAGGTATAATTTGCTAAACAAAGAGCCTGTATAATAGCCAAACTCTCAACAGCAGACCCTCTTTAAACAGTTGGATAAATTTAAAGAAGCAAACAAATCTCACAGTCTATTATCTTTTTTTGTTAGGAACAAGCTACAGGCTTTTAAAGGATCATGTGAGTGTTTTAGAGAATGTTTAAATTGTGCAGCTATTGTAACTTGATCCTTTTTTTCTATTCCGTGTCTGTAACAGGATGGAACAGGAGGAGAGAAGAGGGCAGCAGTGTTAGATTTCTCATCTTTGCATCAGATAAGTTATCCCTTTCTTTCCCACTTCTTCTACACAAAGATTTCACTAAACCATTTGTGAATTCATGTAAGATGATCTATTTTATACATTTTTAATGATTCCCCAGGGAATTTCAGTCCAAGAAAAAAAAAAAATAACTTGGTGCAAATGATCAAACTGAAATCAAATACTCAAAAGGGAAATGTGTTAAGACTTAACTAAGGAGATTCACTAATACTCTTTCTTGCAAAAGACTGTCTATAGGTGCTACTTAAAGTACTATAGTCATATTTAAAAAATCAAAATAAGGATTCTGATGAAGGTCATTTATCATATTATAAGTAGAATAGTAGCTAATAAGCATGTTTTCTATGAACTTCTTATTCCTGGTGTAATATTCTAATCCTTTATTTCATGTTTTTATTAGATCTGAACGTCAAAATCATTATGATTTTTAGAAATAAAGGCTTAAAAAACACTTAGTGCTCTCTAATTAATCTATATAATCCGTTTCAGCTAATTAACTTGCTAAAATAAATGACGTTTTTCAGTAATGTCATTTATTGAATGCGTCTGCATGCACAGAAAATCATTCCAACTAATATTTTACAAAGAAAATACAAAATGTTTGGTCATGTTAATATGTCCTTTGGTCATTAAAGGTCAAATTTAAAGGGTTTGAGTCGAACATTTTTATATCAGGATGTAACTTTTCCTTAGTGTCCTCAAGGTGTCTTTTTGGGACTTCTTTTATACGATTTTTACAAGCTGAGATTAAAACAAACAACAGGATATATTCCCATTACTACAGTATGCAGACGACACATACTTTTCTATACATTACTATTACTATACAATACTATACTATACAATTTCAAAAGGTGACTATGGACCCATTTAACCATTGTATTCTGTTAAAAAAGGTAAGGTTTAAGGTCTACTAAGGTCATTCTATTCTGACCAAAATTAAAGCTATCACAGACTAGCACACAGCTTTAGTAGTTATTACAGTAAGAAACTACTGTTCAGGCTCAAAACCTGGGTCTAGTGATGACCCGTATTCACATAAAGACAGTTACAATGTTTAAACAGGAATAAAGGACTAATATTTTTCCTGAAAAACCCATCCATGTTTATCTTTAGTTGATTTGATTACTGCGATGATGGCTTCACAGTCGTCAAAGTCAAGCNATGTTTATCTTTAGTTGATTTGATTACTGCGATGATGGCTTCACAGTCGTCAAAGTCAAGCAGGCAGCTACAGTTGATCCAGACCACAGTTAGCTTTCCCCACTAAAACTAAGAAAGTAGACTGCATCACCCAAATTCTTAAACCCACAACTGGCTCTCGGTTTCTCAGAAATAGCCTTTAAAATAATAATGTTAGATCATAAAACACAGAATGGCTTAGAAACAAGATTCATTAAACACGTCACTATTACTTTCCCTGACTACTCAGGCCTTGTGGTTAAACTCTACTTTGCATCCCCAGAATCAGATTCAAATATGAAGAAACAACATTCAGTTCTTCTGCTGAACTGATCTTAAACAACCTCCTAAAACACTACCAACATGCTGAAACCAATTCATTTTAGAGTTGCTTTTTTCCCCTATTATGCCACTGATATAATTTTTTTTTTTGTGCTTTCTTCTCTGCTGTTTTCATCATGTAAAACACTTTGATTTGCCTTGGTGCTGAAATGTTTTATACAAATAAACTTGTCTTGCCTAAACCACACATTATCTTGGGGTTACAGAAAAGGGCATGATATTTTTACATTTTCCTTAATTTCTAAAATGTTTAACACGTCTGTATTGGTCTCTGGTGCCGATATGTGATTTTTAAATTTTATTTTAATTGCAATTAAACTAATTAATCTAGCTAGCATCTGGTAAAAACATAAAGAAATCTATTTAAAGAAGGGAATCGTCCCACTTTAAATACTAAACATTTATTTTTTACTTATTTATATTTTACTACAAAGGAAACAGTCTTTCAAAAAACAGGTTCACATGATCATGTTTATCATTTGACCAAAAACTACTTACTAAAACCTGTCTTATACTTGTTGGTAGACACCATCTTTGGACCCTATTTTTAGTCTGTGCTGCTGGGCTTTTTTCTCCTTACGGTTTAAAAGTTTAAATGGAGTTACTCCTTGGTAGATAGTTGTGTTAAGCCTAACATTTTGTTTTAGGTGTTACTTATTTTTCAAAGCAATTTCCTTTTCTTGTTTTTTTGTCAAACATCATTGTGTTACAGTGAGGTGCACACAGGACTGATCCATTCATTGATTTAAACCTAACTCCAGTACAAAGCACTTGAAAACAAGCTACTCTTATTTTGGGAAATTATCTCTGAGGGAGGTTTCTTTTCTTCTTCTCATTCATCCTTTTCAGAATTGTGTATTTAGCAACCGATTTTGTTGCTAAATAGGATAAAATCATCATTATTTGAAAAGAAAGTAAACTTTGCTTTTTAACTCTACTCTGAAAAAAATCACAGTCCCCGCTTGACTCACGATGACTAGCTGAGGGACAATTTGGAGGTGTGCGCACAAAAGCAAGCTGGAAGCCACCCTTCATAGAAACCCCATTAATGAAGCCTGAAAACAGCAGTGGATTCATTGGGATAAAGATTTATGGCTTGATTCTTGTGTCAGCATGGGGAGATGCAACCAGAGAACATTTGTACATTGTCAGTCGGGGAAATCTCATGATCCATTGTTCAATATAGGAAGCACCCACTCTTTATGCAGCACAGAAAACCTTCCCAAGACATAACAGAGACCACCTACAGTCTGCCTTTTTATTGTTGAGGTTGGTGTGAAGGTGGCCTAAAAAGATCATCCAATGAGTTTAAAAAGACAGAAGAAACGGTGTAGACATATACAGAAAATTATAATTTAGTCTGATGCTTGGACTGAAATATAAGAGAAATTCTGGTATTTCAGATTTTTTCACTGCTCTGCAGATTAAATATGCTTTGATTCTTTGCTCTTTTATGATCAATCTGAAATTTTAACCTATTATCAGTACTCCCTAGCACTTTAGTGAAAATTGGTATAGATTATTTCCAGCAAATACTATAAAAGGTGCTTTTATTATTTTATTCAATCAGAACATGTAAGTCTTAAAATAAACAGCTTTTAGCGTACCAACTAAATGACTTTCGTTTGAGCTGTGAGGTGATGAAGATTCACAGTAACCTCCTTATGACTCCTGTAAGCCATCGATAGGATGACAGCAGGTGGCACTAAGAGGGTTACATGAAGGTAATCTTGATGCCACAGAATAGACACTATAAGAATAGTGTGTTTCACCAAAGCCACTGGCAGATCATGGGAGGATTTCACACTGAAGAATTGAGTGTCTAAAAGGGGCTGTGTCACAGGAAGAACAGTAGATCTGTGAGGACATTAAAGTATTTTATCCTTCCAATATCATTATGCCTTGTAGTAAGTGTTTTAAAGAACAATCTGGATTTTATTTGCAAAATAATTTCTATAAATGTTGTTTCTGTAATGTAGGAACCAAGCACTCACAACAACTGAATGCAAAACAAAACCAAAAAACAAGGTTTTAAGAATACCTTTAAATGTTAATTTCTTATATTAGCTGACAGAAATGTATCATTGTTATATTTCAACGAACATTTTCCTTACTTTTATGTAATCTAACACTAAAGAACCCGTATGCGCACAGTGATGTAAAACAGATGGAATTTACAAACCACATTGTACACACAAACTTTGACTGGTAGCTTTAAGTAGCCATTATTTTTGGGCATATTTTGTGACACATAAAAACAAACCATTAACTAAATCTTAGGGTTTTACAATGGAGCTTCAAAAAAAACAACCAAAAAAAAAAAAAAAAAAAAAAGAAATTATGAATTTTATACAATGCTCTATTAAACAGATTTTACATTTCTGCAGCCAGATCTTGCTCTTGATTTATTGCAGTGTTCAGTTTATTTAGCAAGGTTGACACTTGCTAAATAAACTGAGAATTATGGGAACCTGGGAATTATGTTACGTTAAATATGGGTGCATCCCAGTAAGAAGTCAGAAAAAGTGTTTTTCTTAATTTAATGATTTAAAAAAAAAAAAAAAAAAACATGCCGAAAATGCAGGATTTAGAGCCCCATGTAATGTATATAATGACAAACAAACTGTCAGAAGCACTAAGTAACAATATATAACATCGACTTACAACATTTTGTATGTGTTGAACCCAAGGGTAGTTGGAGAAGTTTGATTTTCTAATGGAAAATTCTTACCTATGGGGCCTTTATCCATTTACTCTGCTGGATAGCTCAGAAAATTCTAC